AAAAAAAAAGAATAAGAAATAAAATGCAGTGAATGGACAACATCAGAGATAATTAGGAAAGAGAACTTCACGCTATATATTGAAGAATGCGCAGACACCTGACTCGTGTTGTAAACCCAGTACGGACGCAAAAATGTTAAACCAAAAGAATGGGAAATAAGGCGTACAAAGATATGCCACGCTACGGAACATCTTTGTTTTTATGACGTCATTTTAAGGAAGTTCATCGACATCGGTAACAGCTATCAATCAAAGTTGTTTCGATCGTATTGGCAGCAAATGATTAGATTAACCAGCTCACTTAATGAGCTGAGAAGATGAAGATGATTGCATATAGACCACATCCAAGTAGGACTAATGGTTTCCCCTTCAAACGGGTTACTTCGTGTTTTGAACATGATATAAGAGGAAGAGTTGATGTCAAACTGCAAAATGGCTCAACATTTGCTAGAATTTTCATCTCAAAATATGAATGATATATCAGGCAGAGAGATGTTCATAAATAAAGCATAAAAATTTATTTCACAACTGACATGACGGGTATAAAGTCAGCAATTTGAACAACAAAAATGGAGGACACAAACTCAATTACATTAGAGCCTGGTGACTGCTGCTTCATCTTCGTCTGTTATACTTGTTATGCTGACCCTTACACTAAGTCCGGAATCCTCGGAATCAGAATCACCTTCTTCAGGAGGCATTAATTCGTTGTTTGATTCATCATCTTTTATGCACGAAGTTGTTTCCAAGTAATCTAGATTATTACAGCTCCAAGTTTTTATCTTGGAGAAATCTAACTGCTGTGTAGAGTCCGATCCATTGCGAAAAATTCCACGTGGAGGAGGATCAGGTGCAGTTGCCTCTTTATGCTTTTGAACGCTAACTCTGTTGTTCACGCTCCCAACAGAGATAGTGCTCGTCGTTGGCTTCTCAACTTCGTCGTAAGCGCCCTGCAAGGTCTTATAAAATCTATAAGTAATTGTCGATTGTAAAAGAAAAAACACAATGAATGCCGCACTCATTTTTATTGTTAAGCAACTAACAAAGCAGCATCAATCTAGCGTCAGTAAAAGATTTGATGGACTGTCTTTATATCTGCTGATTTCCCAGTGTCTTTATTCAAAAAAGAGGCCGAGCTAATTTGATAACTTTTTAGTTTGCTGTAGTTCTTTATACTGTTCTAGACGTTTCTCCACATGATTGATGCGGAATTGAGACTCGCTGACTTCATAGCTCCAATAAGTGCACTTAGGGATGATTTACGACTTTGAAAGCCGTTCACCTACTGGATCAACCTGTATAGAAAATTTGCTAATCTCCCTCAAATACAGTAACGAGTTTTGTACTTCTTATTGAATCACAAAATTGGAAAAATCAAGATTTTGAAGCTTTGCGGTCTACCTGACTCTGGTAAGACCTAGAATTACAAAAGTATTCGGGCTTTTTAATGGCAAATTGAAAAAGAGAAGGGCTGCCAGCTGTATCAGTAGATGCGTTTCCCGGTTTTTGAGCTATAAGCAGAGAGTCCTCTCTGATCCTGCGAATGCGAATAATACTGAAGTTGAGCAAGCTATAGTGCCGCCCACCTCTTTATCTGCTTCTCGCACTATCATATGCCACCCCCTTCAGAATTCAAATAAATGTAATTACAGCGTTTAGTAGAATCAATGCCTACTTCACTTCATTGCGTTCAAGAGTCAGACGGCGCTTGGGGATCAACTCAGAATTTCAGTGTTTGGACTACCGCAATTTTGCATCAAGCAACAATTGGCCATCTGAAATACGATGCACCTTACATGCCCAAACAAGTGTGAACTTGCGCCGCTTTTTTAGATAACGTGTATTGGGTGTACCTCACATAACGGAGGTGTCGAAATTCACTGGATACAATAGAGTAACGTAATAACGCAATGTCTGTGTATGTAGATAATAATCTGCACCATACGAAAAACTCACTTTGGGCACTGTTTTAATTCCTCGAGCCTGAAGCATTGCCCTTGGAAAATACATTTTATTTGTGATGGTGCGCTGTTTGCAAACCTCACATGAGCAACGGTAACTGTAAGTAAAGTGAACCAACAATAGTTGTATAATATCATAAGCTATACCAAAATCTAGTTTCTTTACTTACCCAACCGAATCATAATAGTCTGCTGTTTGTGTAAAGGACTTCGAACGAGTACGTACTAGGGGGGGATGTTCTTTGCCTGAAACAAGCTACAAATTTTAGGTAAAAACCAGTCGAAAACCACTGATTTCATACGCGTTTCTTTCAGACTCCATTGTTGAACACTCAGATCCTGTAGACCATTTGATGTTGCATGAAGTTCTTGCGGAACTAGGCATTGAATCTTTCACGGCATTTTATCAAGTTTCCTTATTGCCAATTACTTACACTTTTCAAGACCAATCTGACCAACTGACTTCATTTATCAATATTTGCCAAAAACTTCCAAAATTTTAAATTTTCATTAAAATCTCGCTCCGTGATTATTTGAGGCTGAGGACAGCAATTTGTGTCATACTGCAATTTTAAAATAGGACCAGTACCAACCTTCTTTTAGAAAGGTTTTTTGATTTTTTCTCGCATTAGCTAAGCTTACTTAATTCAGGCATCATATTGAGTTTTCTCATTTAACATTTTTTTTCTAATATCTTGGATTTTTTGTAAC